ATATGACTTATTATAAACTTATGAATGCTTCTAAGTGTAATAAGATTTCGAGTTTTCGTAAGTTTTATGGATCTTAGGTATTTATGAATTCTACTTGTTCGTTGAATTTCGCACAAAGCTACTCGAGGGCTATCTGCGCTAGTCATCCCTAATTTTGAAGAGATATATTAGAGGGAAGGCAGATAGTCAACACCACCAACCGCCAATTCTTAGGCTACTCTATACTAACGAATAGTGGAATTGACCATCACGTTATAACGTCCCTACGGCAGAAAGGGCGGGCATGTTCAGCGACGGGTGCTTTTTATATGCAACGACATACTGCACTTTTCGTAAAATTAGTTTCTTTAATATATTTGATTATAATGTTTCACATATTTTTGGTTATTATCATTATATTTAGTTTATTATATCAATTTAGCCGTAATCTAAATCTTCCATGCTGGTCGTACCTCACAAGATGTCACTAGGTTTAAGGTTAAAGTACAGGTAATAATGAGGGAGCCTGTCTGATGACTGAATGCATTCTAACCATTAAAGCCTTTAGTTTTGATCTATACTTTAACCTCTAAGTTGCTTTAAATTCTGATCTATACTTTAACCTCTAAGTTGCTTTTAGTTCTGATCTATACTGACTGGAAGACTAGTAGTTATACTGAAGAAACAAACTTTAAAATAAACTCCTCTTAAAAAAAGTAAAAGCCATTTTTTTCATGTTTTAAAGTATAAAACCAATAGGTGTTCTTGAACCAGCTAATATTCCAAACGAAGTTTTAAGAACTAATAGATGAAAGAAGAAAAAGAATGTATAGTAATATGTCAACCACACTATATCTGCCATATTCAGTGCTGACAAGGCCTTTAGTCCAGTACCAGGGTTCATCAACCCATTGGACTATGAAGACAAAGCAGGCCTAGAGGCCTTACTTAATCTAATTCACACTATTACGACAGCGGAAGTTACGTGACGCTGCTGGCGCATGCGTGACTGAATTTCTCGAATTATCAGGGAACTTTGCGAATTTTGGAGAAGCCTCTTTGTTAGTATATAAGCCTGGCGAGAAAAGCCAGCGGAGGTTAAAGCGAACAGTAGTTACGAGCTAGTGAGCCGTAAAGTGTGTGTTTTGCACTCGTAGAGAGCGAAATTATCGAGGTTGTGAATCGCTGTGATTTATAACGTGTATTATAAAAGTTGTTAAGTTTAAAGTGACGAGAAACATAATGACTGTGGAATTACTGTGTACTAAAAGTTTGTATCGAGAAAGGATAAACTGGTCTAATCAAGAACGGACTTGTATCGCTGAAGTTCCTTGGAAGATTGTTTGTTTGTAATTATGCACAAAGCTACACAATGGGCTATCTGTGCTCTGCCCCCCAAGGGTATCGAA